GTGGCCACTTATACGGGGACACCCTATATATATATATCCTACTATTCCAACTTTAAATTTATGGGCTTATTATTACGTTACAAGGTCGACAGTAAAGGTCGGCGTTTATATAATCGGCAGTCTATTGTATAACTATTGTATAAAAAAGTGCATTTAAAATGTGTACAAATATTATTATACGTAGAGAGATTCACTCTCCTGTTGGCGTTAGAGATACAACAATTTGTCAAATTATACTTATCATATTACAAAATAAGAAAAGGATTTATATATATGTATATATATATATATATATATATATATATATAGTATATCAGTGACTCATCAAACTAATTCCGTCGACTATTGGATCAACTCCGACTTACAGTTTTCCAGCTGTAGTGATCACTGAACTATAATACAACTGAAATGTGCACTGGCAGCCAGAATGCGTTCCCGAGAGAGAGAGAGAGAGAGCAAATCCAAATTGGTTGATGGAAAGAGAAAGGTGGCCTTTCACATTATGCTATCTCAAAATCGTTTTCCACCTATGGACACAATGGCAGTGCACATTTCAGTTGTATTATAATTCAATGGTGGTGACTTTTCTCAATTAATGTTATCACCAGTCTCGTCGGCGACAGTTCATATGACTAACTTAGCGGCCACATTATCCAACTATCAATAAACAACTAGTAATTACTAGTTGCTATTACCGACTTTGAGGTCTCTTGACACCATGGATCGAATTCAAACAGCTCGACAACATTCGTTCCTGATCAATTTCCCTTGTCGAAATTTTCAATCAGTTTCATTTCCTCAGCAACAGCAACATTTATAGGAACAGGGACGGAGATTTTGATTTTTTTTGTATATGGAGTCATCCAAGCAAAGGAGAAGGGATGATTTCCATTACACACAAATATTTTTTATCTCTTTTATTATATGTTTTGTTGTTTATGTATAATACAAAATATATTTTCTATATATAAAATGAATTTTAAAACCTATTTAATACATTATAATTAAAAATTCTACAACAAATTACTTTTTTACATTTAACTAATATAAGTACTACTCTATCTTACGCACGCTTTATCCTTCCTTTTATATTTCGATAAGTAATGTATACTGTGAGTGATGTATACGATTCTTTTCTATTATTATAAAACAATCAGAATCAATATTGTTAATTCTTTTATTAGCTTCAATATTAATATTTAGAGCCCGATTATTGTTTTTTTAATATTTATTTTCCAACTAACGCGTTTACATCATTTATAAACTCTTATTAATTCGTATCAAGTAGCACGAATTGCTTCATCAATGTTTTATTGTTGCTTCATTCTTTTAACTTGCGTCTTCAATTTTTTTAAAGATTTCTTCTATCTGCGTTTTGCCCCTAAAAGCTTCTTCTATCTGTGTTTTCGTTCTCCCTCGTGTCTCCGGTAATACAACCGTTAAGAAAACAGTAGCTATGATAGCTATTACACAGTAAAAGCAAATGGTGGCATTTCTGTTAGTTGTTACCATCAATGGATACAATTGTGTGGCAGTATAGTCACACAAAAAAGCCAAGATGACAGTAAGCATCCCGAGAACGTTTACGTACTTGCTAGGATACAATTCCGGAATCATCGACCAAGGAAGCGAAAAAAATCCGAATGATGCAAATGCCTACAATTTATAGATTAGATTAATCGTGAACTTTATGGTTAGTTATAATAAACACAAATTGATAACTCTTTTTTAAGCAAATTTCTTCAAGAAATTAATTAACTAACATTCAATCTACGTTAAACTCAAACTTCAAAATTATATTAATTAAAAAGAAATTTTTAACAAAAAGTTATAACTTACAAAAGACAAAACATTATAATTGTTGTTAAATTTACATGAATTTTCTTACCACATAAAGAAGAATGCAAACGAGGGGTACAGCCGCAACGCCAGTTTCTTCAAAAAATTGCAGGTACAGTGCTAAAGCGCCCAAAGAGATTGCCATACCAGTACCAGAAATAATGGAAATCGGTCGACGACCAAATCTAGTAGAATTTCAAAGTTTATTATAAAAACTTTGGGATTATAATTAGTTCGAATGATATATATTATAACGTGTGCTCAATAACTACAACTTAACTACTACAACTACGTATTTTAGTTTCGCAATCAACGTGATTACTTATATATGAATATCACAAAGATCTTTACAGAGAAAATATAAAAAATTACGATATATATTGAATTTAAAATAATTAATATGGATATAACATCATATATTTTCTCCAATTACACCGTCTGACAAAATGTATCCTGTTTTTTTTGTCACAAAAAAACAAGCTTTTTTTGTATTTTGAGTGTGAATGGTCTCATGTTGCAAATTGGTATTAATTAGATAGTGTTAACGCTCATAACTACGCGTTTACTAAAATTAATTCATCATTTATTATTAATTATATTTATTGCAGTTATAATATTGCGTTTTGACTTGTTATTTCTGGATATCACGTAAATATGTAATATTTTATGTTATAAGAACCACGTATAGGAAACAAATATAATTACTTCATGCTGCAGCTTGCAGTGATTACGTTGACCACCACTTGAATAATTCCTATTATGACGGTGATCAAGAAAGAATCTATTGCAATATTGATTCTGGTAATTATATCAACACTATAAGCTATTAGCACATACACACCACTAAACTTCTGAAAAAGGAAAAAGAGATTCAGAATCACAAACGGTTTCCACACTTCTGGTAAAACGACTGTTCTCCGGATGCTCTTCAGCCTGCTCCACACATTCCAAATAAAAAACGACTCATTAATCTCTCCGGTCTCTTTAATCGAGGAAGAGTCTGTTCTAACATTTTCAGATGTTTTGCACTTGCTTTTTAGCTCGTTGTAATTTACCATACTGACAAACTCTTCTTGGAACTCTGCTGTCTCTTGATGTAGACCACGGATTTTAAATAGAGCGTTCTTAGCTTCCTCCTTTCGGCCTTTCAAAAGTAACCACATAGGACTCTCGCGAATAAAAAATATATTGCAGAGAAGAAGAGATGCCGACGGTATGACAAAAAACGCTGCTATCACCCTCCAATTGTTCTAAATTAATTTAAATGTTATAAATAAAATCTAAAGTAATATATTATATATTAATTATAGTAATGTTTTTAATTTTTTTATCTATATATAAATATAATTTTATATATTTAAAACTTAATTCTAATACACGAAAGAAATTATATAAATTTTAACATAATTACCAAAAATTTTGCTTAATCATAAATCTTTCTATTTTCTGAATAATAAAAATTATTTAAAACATATTCTATTTACCTTTGCAACAAATCCTAGAAAATAAACGATTAGAACTCCAATGGAAACCGCTATATTTGGAGTAATCGTAAGAACTTCTCTCCATGCGGGTATAGAGATTTCTGCTAAATAAATTTCAATAGCAGGGGAGCAAAGACCAATGGCACTTCCTAAAAATTTTTTAAATATTTATAATTATAATTTTTATGATTAATATGAATTGCTCTTATTTGTTTCGTCGTTAAACAAACTACTAATTAATAGAACAATGTCTGTTTTCTTTCTTACATAAATAAAAATTTATAAAATTGATATAATGCGCTCGCATCTGACATGCTAATCATGTCAGTAATTTATAATCAATATATAGTTTAACAAGCGGAACATTACGGAAAAAAATATTCAATTATTATTTACATAACACATTTGCAGTTAAAAATAATAATACTAGCTTATAGCTAAACATTATTTCAAACTAGACAAGGTTTCTTATTTTTAGATGCTGAAAACAATATCTCACAAATCAAATTTTACCAGCATCGGACAAATTTCTCAAATAATAGTAGTTTGATATTCAAGAAATGATTTCTATTGTAATATTTCAAATTTCCTTGAAATAAAGATCGACATCTTAAATTTTTTATCAAAAGTCACGAAAACATTGTCCTCTATAAAATGCATTCATTTAATATCTTACTTTATATTTACTTTATAGTTATATTACCTAAATATTATTATTTATAATTTGTGACTATCGATACATATATACAATGTAATTTATCATGATAGATCCACTAATTCGTACACATTCACATATGCATACGTATATACACATTTAATGGACTCTATCACAATTACACTGTGTATGTTGATTGATAACCACAAAATTATAAATTAAAATTATATATGATTTCATCGTCATAGTAAGAAAAAAATTGTTACATATTTAGTGGACTTTATCACGATAAATTATACTGTGTACATGTATTAAAAACCACAAATTGTAAATTAAAGATATACATGATTTCATCATCATACTAAGAAAAAAATTGTTTATCTTAATAAAACTTCCTACTTAAATAACCTTCATTGCGTGGCTAAAAAGTAAAATATTGAAATTTAAAGAAATATATTTAGAGAATAAACACTACATTCACGAATTTTATCAGAATTTTAAAATAACGTTAATCTTTTTTTATAAAAAATTTAAGTATCATAAAATAATCAATTTTTTGTACATTAAACTTTATTTTGGAAATCTAATATGCTGATAACATGCATGCTAATACAAATAATTTTTTATTACACATCGCGATAATAAAAAATATATTAGCGTGAATCATAAACTAAACGGAATCTGATCTCAATTGGACAAATTTCTCACCTGTTAGCACTCTACCAATAAAGAGCTGTGGCACATTATAACTACTCGCAATCAAGATCCATCCCACAGAAAAGTTTATACTATTTATTATCATAGTAAATCGTCTTCCATAGTTGAGCGTAATAAGGCATAACATGCAACCGATGGCTGCAGTTATAGGTACCGTAGAAGCTAAACAAAAATATTTCCAACATTATGCAAATAAGTGCATTTTACAAACAATACATCTTAATATTCTGTAAAAGTATTTTTTTAATTTTTTAATTATTTATATCTATTTTATAACTAATTTTTCTTATTATTTTTTTTGTTTGTGTATATAAATTTGCAATGTAGTACAATTTAGTAATAGAAAGCATAATTAAAGATAATTGAACATTAGGCCTGTGTTCCTTATAGCTGAACTGACTGCACTATTTCAGAGTTTATTTTTCTTTTTCCAATGTAAAAAGAAAAAGATAAACTGTGAACAAGTGCAGCTATAAAGAACAGGCCAATTGTTATCAGTAATTTATTATCCTCCTATCTAAAGAAAAAGACATGTAAAGTCGATTACTCGCATTTTTTGAAATTTATTGTTGTCACTTTTCCGCGATGCCGATTAGTTATCTCACTGCGCTTATTTCGTATAAGCGACTGTCATTGTATTCTAGCATTTGTAGGTATGTATTAAGGCTAATAATGTAACGGCAAGTATAGTATAAATATTAAATAGCGCGCGCGAAGCGCGCGTCTGTAATGCTAGTGTTGTAAAATTTATATACATTGTATGTTGACAAAAATTAAATGGTAACAGTAATTAATGTTAATATAAAGTATATATTTTGAAGCGCATAATATTAAATACAGTTACCAAAAAATGGCATCTCCATTTCGTTTAAAGTTAGATCAGAGGTTGTGTTACTCGTTAATATGGGAAGTACTACAGAAGAATATCCTTGAGTGGCTCCTTCATTAATTAAAGCCAGGTTGCAAACAATGGTGTAAAGAAACTGCGACAGATTATATACACAAAAATTATATATTAAATTTAATATTATTACATCTTTTATTTTTAATGTATTAAAATCGGCAACTTTATTTCTTATTTGATATTTTAAAAGTTTAAACATTTTTAAAATTCTTATGTAGAGCTAATTTATAAAAATTTGATCGTGAATCACATTAGTTATACATTTTTTTATTAAAAATATGTAAATAGTTATTTCAATTACATACCAAACGAAGCACTTCTCTTCGCACATTCAAACGTTGACATATATTTGTATTAGTCATATTTTCACTACCCCCCGAAAATAACTGAAAACACGAAATATTTTTGGTATCAATCTTAGCATCTATGATGATACTATATTATCTTTAATATTTGTGAGATTTGAACATAATTAGACGAATAATTAAATGAACGTGGATGGCAGATCATTTTAGATGAAATATATGGTTCGAAGTTGCATTTGTCAAATTCAAAATCATTATTAACATATTTAATTAAATTGTTTCAAAATATTGATACCATTATTTATGATACTATAATAATGTTCACTTAATATATTAATTTTATAAACAACTGTGCTATTATGACTATTTGTGTTATTGTGCAACTTTCAATCTATCATTATTAAAATAAACAAATTGACTGGATGTGTATTATACCCGGACACATACAAAAGACTTATTATTTTTAATTTGAAATGTTTTTTTATTATAATATTATAACTTTATTGAAATTTTTAAATAACTTTACAATTAAATTTTTATACTATAATATTATAATAAAAGAGCATTTGAGGTATTGAGGTTAATAAGTTTTAAAATGTCCGGACATATGTTTACCTTAATTTAAAGAGGATTTCCTGAACAAAACTTGTTTCTTCGTTGGTAGTAACAGTTAAACTGATCCACTCTTTTATGCATACATTTCACGCGTGCGCGTGATTGTATAACGATTCATTATTAAGTGAATGACTAAAGATCCCTCGCAATGTATACACTATCCACGTATACTGCCACGTTATAAAAAAATGTTAGACGTGCAATCCACTTTTTACGAGTTGATAAATATCATTACGGACATAATTATGCGATAATTCTAGAATCTTATCGTGTTCTAAACATAGTTCATAGAGTAGTGAGGTTTCAAAATGCTATAACTTAGTAAAGAAAGAAGTTTAATACACGAAATTGAAGAACAAGTCAAACATTTTTATTGAATAAAAACAGATCGAATAAACAAAAGGCTATTGCCTTCATCCTTGATCGCCTATACTCATAAAAAAAGATTTAATTTTGAAATATTAAACTATTTTATTTTTTATTTCCATTTTTTAGATACTTGAAAATACATTAGTTTTAAATAAGCGTATAAAACGCTAAGAAGTGTTTAGTCTTGAAAAGTGTAAAATACATATGAAACAAAAGATATTTTTCCGTTTCAAGTAAACCTGTTAAGAATAACTGATTTTTTATTTCCACATTGATATTCTCAATGATGGTAATTCAATATATGCAGTGTTGTTTAATTATGTAAAAACAGAATTTATATGTTAAATATAACTTCACATATAATTTTCTCCTGCAAAATCTATTTCAAACAAAAAATTATCTATTGTATATTATACACAGCTGCATGTGTATGATGTGTATAAGCGCGCACACACAGCATGTTGTTTAATTTAAAACACTAAAAAGTTTAAAGCTGAAATATCTTTTATTAAATCTTTTAAAAAAGACGTTTTATGTGTAAATATTTTCTTTATTACACTTTGTACAATAATATGGCAATATATTTACAAAATTTAAAACTTTACAGAGTTCAAAGAAACACTTAATAAAAGATAAACTCATATTTTTCGCTAACATTTTCAGTGCAATATGGCTTTCGTTTATTTCCTTGCAGATATTGTAAGCGACATGATCGCGTTTTCTGAAAGAACGTCAGATGTGACGGACAGTTTCCGTGATCCGTCATTTTTTATGCTCACGTTACTCGGTTTGACTTGCTCTTCAAGTGCGTGCTGATTTCATGTCTCTAACTTGTTTCCTACTAACAATAAGTTGTAGCCTTTAACATCTCACCGTTTTATGGACACACTTATTATTTTTTGTTAATTTTAGTATTTAACGTATTGACGTGAAGATTTTTCATACTGAGTATTAATGCATCTCTCAGTAATGATTCCTTGTACTGTTGAAATATCTTTTTTGAATATTGTCATGTAATATAATATAAAGAGGACAAATGCGGGTAATGAACGAGTTACTATCCAGATAGAACAAACAAGAGTGTCACATATTATACCTAGTATATTAAAAATCAAAAGACACGGTCGTGTCTCGATCGCTAAATCTAATAAACAAAAGTCTCATATAACAATGTCAAGCAGTTGGACGAGTCACAGTTTTGGTGCGCGTTTTCATCAAAGAAATCACAAGACAAATCCGACGACGACTTCGAAAGTAATGTATAATTTTATCGGTATTAATAATATCGATTAGTGCTAACATTAGATCCCGAAATATATTCAATTTCCATGTAATGCTCTAATAGGAGGCGACATTTTCATTCTGAAGGAAAAGAATCTGTTAAGATACGCGCATTATTGTATATTCTTTATATATAATAAAACGTGTTCGTCTAATAGATCTTGTAAAAAAATGTGAAATCGTAGATGGATTATTAAGACACGGATTTTATTAAAACAAAAATTTTTACTTTGTCAAATTTAGTATACAATTTTAGTTTCATTGCACAGACGTATTAGCATCTGGAAAAATGTCTTCTGAGGAGAACAGCGGCTATTTCAGTAAGGTAAGCGAACGGGTGTTTTTAAATCCGCTTCCTGTTTTGTAACATGATTAAATATATTTTGACAAGTTGTCTTATCTCTAACGCCTAATATGGAGATTGATCGGTGTATCATAATATTTCTATGTAAATTTTAAATACATTTTTAGTTATATAAATCACGCGCCGAATATTGTCGGACTTGCAACGCAATCATAAATTGAAGCTGAAATAGAAAGTAAAATCAAAATTATCAAAAGTATTGATTTAAAAATAATGATGCTGACAAGCACATTTCTATTTCAGTTTCAATTTTATGCACTTATGTTGCAGAGCCGACAGTAATCGCGCGCTTATATAATCGGCAATTTATGTAAGAAAAATGTACACAGAAAAATTATTAAGCACGAAGATCCAGTCTCTTAACCGTAATTGATATTTTTCAATTTAAAACGTTTTTTTCTCAAAATCTTCTCCAAACAAAAATATTCTAATTTTATTTTAATGCTTTATTTAAAATTTTCAAAAAGTTAGATAATAATAAATTTAGTTTTGTTGATAAAAATATATTGACGTACTTTATGTATTATTAGAATAAAATGAAAAGTTTAATTTTTATATAAGTTATACATTATTATATAACGATTATATAACGATTTAATCAATTTTATCACTTTTCTAATTTTTTACAAAGAAGTGTATTTTCCTAACAAATAAATTACAATGCAGCGTCTTTTCCTAGACGTTTGAGGAAAATACTCTGTTAAACCGATTATATAAGTCATTGTATAGAATACAAATTAAATACATCATAAAGAGATAAAAATTTATATACATTAATTATATAATTTTATTTATTAATGTTACAATTAATTGTAAGGCATATTTGCATGAATTGCTCTAAATATATGTATATATAAATGTTTTATTTTTTTATCATTTTAACACGGTTTTTTGTAGGCAATAGTAATGTTCTTCATTTAGCGACAGCGATAGTGATGCGGACATTTTGACAAAACACGCTCGTCATAAATTGGAACGGATACTTAACAGGTCCGTGTCTTAGAGAAACATGTTCAGAAAACGGATCCGTTACTAAACAAAATTCTCTTCGAAAGCAAAAAAGAAATAAAGGAACATGTCTCTACGTCAACGTCCGCTGTTAGTTCCGCAACTTGTTCCAATTTTTATTCACACGCCGGAATTGCCTCTTGCTCGCGAAGATACGCGGTCATGCTGCCACAGGTCATCCACAACTACATGCACATCTATATTCTCAAAATTTATCTCACATGGCGTCCACTTGCAGGCAAGATAAGTACGTATGCGTGTGTGTGAGTCAAAAAAATAATACATATTATTTCCATTTAACTTTATCTTTACAATAAAACATATACATATATAAATTATATATATAGTTAATTATATATATATTAAATATATTGTATATAAAAATTATATATATATTATATATGTATATAATTTCTATATATAAAAAAGAACTAATGTTGTTATATAATTTAAAGTGTTATTTGTTTATTTTAAATAATTTATATTTATATTACTTAAAGACTTTTAATTGTTTAATGTTTTTTTT